CAGCCTTCACTCTGGACTCCCGTCAAGACAAGAATACCTAATCACATACCCCTTTTAAACAGTTCTCTCCCTCATCTGTTTCAATGCAGTATACATTATTGAACCCACCTTTCTCAGTCTTCCCTAACTTCTAAGAAGAACTTTGGCTGCATTTCCTCTGAGGCAAATCTCTCTGATCTCTTGGCAGGCCCTGCTCAGTATCCATCAACACCACAGTTCAAAGAAAGCCATTCTTCCTTGATTTTCCTTATTCACAGTCCAATTTTCACATCATTTGAACAATTGGAAAATACCACGGTTTGGGTCAGGTGTACATCAGTCTTCAAAGTTACCTCCCTGCTCTGTTACACTTTACAGAGGTCCGTGGCGACAGATGTGATTTCTGCTTCCATAGATGCTGATTGTGGATTCTCACAAAAGGAAACCCCGGGTACAACCTTCACACTGTGTATCACAATACTGTTTACTGGTCCAGTTGTGGGGATTTTCGTTTTGTTTACATTGAGGTGCAATCAATCCAGAGAGTGAAGTTTGTAGACTTTGATCCCTCTTCATCAGAGTAAGTGCTTCAAGTCGTCTTCCTTTTCAGCAAGCCTGTCTATGTCATCTGCAAATCACAAACTGTTTGACAAGTCTTTCTCCCATTTGCACGCCACATTCCTTTTCGTAGAGTCAAGCGTCTTGGGTTTTTCACTCAGCATATAGTTGAATAGATATGGTGAAAGAATGTAACCCTGATACACGTGTTTTCTGCTTTTAAACCATGCTATTTCCCCTTTTTCTTTTCAAATGACTACTTCATGGTCTCTGCACAGGCTCTGCATAAACTCAGCTAAATGTTCTGAAATTGTCATTCTTCTGAATTATATCCATAAATTATATAGTCTACATATGGATTTGCTATCACTTGTTATGCATCAGAGAGTTGGACAATGACCAAGGAGGATAGAAGGAGAATTGATGCCTTTGAGTTGTGGTGCTGGAGAAGAGTATTGAATGTACCATGGACTGCTAGGAAAGCAGATTGATCCTGGAGAGGGTTAAACCGGGCTACTCCTTGGAGGCAAGGATTCTGGGGCTCCATCTGACATACTTTGGACATGTTGTAAGGAGAGACAGGTCCTTGGAGAGGGACATCATGCTTGGGAGGGTGAAGGGACAGCGCAGGAGGGGAAGGTCCTCTATGAGGTGGATTGATTGAGTGACTGGGATAATTGGGATGGGAGTGTCAGAGACAGTGCGATTGGCACAGGACAGAGCAGAGTTTAGGGCTGTTGTACACAGGGTCGCTATAAGTCGCAGGCGACTCAACAGCACATAACAACAAGAACAACAACGTCAAATGCCTTCATATAGTGAATAAAACACTATTCTACATCTCTCTGGTATGTCTGCTTTCAGCTGAGTTCCAGCTGTTGTTGTTACTAACCATTAAGTCTGAATCAACTCAAAACTGACTTTCTAGCAGGTTTTCAGAGGCAGATAATCGGAGGGGGGGAGACTACCCACCTTCTCCAGTGGAGCAGGTAGTAGATTCAAACTGAGTACCTTTGTGTTTCCTATCTGATGTCTAGAGAAGCTAAATTATTGTTTGGTTTTAAGAAACTATCAAAGAATAATTTTGGTTTAAGATTTTAAAATCATCTCACTGCAATAGTTTTAGGGGTTCATCCCGCCTCCATGGCTCGAGAAAACTCTGAATTCAATCTGGATTTAATTGTGTCTGGACAGCTGTTCCCACTCAGTGAAACCCAGAACCTCCCGACATCTGCTCCTGAAGCTCTCTACTGAATCCCTTTGCAAAGTCCCAATAATGTGTCTTCCCTCTCTCGGGAGCCTTTGAGCTCGCAGGTAATAGAAGCTGGGTCTTAATACTCAGGAGAGACTTGGAAAAGTCCTACAGAACGAGGAATGGACAAGGGAAGTGAGCAAACACATGAAGACTTCGGAAGCATCTGAAAAGTATTTTATGTGTTCTAGAAGATCCTGATGACTGAGAAGGAAAGCGTCTTTGTAGTTTGACCTTGAGGGTGCTTCAAATTGATGGGCGTTGTAGATGGAATACAATGGAATGCAAATGGTGCGTCCCATGGTGCTTCACTTGCCTTAAAGGGCAAGTGAGCCCTGGCACCCACACAGCCGACCTCAGCTCTGAGCTCTGGGCAAGGTGAGGGTGGCGTACACACAAGGCTCTTTGGAGGCATCCCGGAGGGAATACGAGGACAGTGGCTCCATCCTTCCAATAAGGGCTTCTTCCTGCAACTGGGCATAGGTCACTTCTCTAGGCTTTTCCGCCTTGGAGACCTGTGAACATGGAGACACAAGGTGCAAGAGAGTTCTTGGGGAGGGAAATGAACGGGAGAGAAAGAAGAAGAGGTGGGAGAGGAGAGCCTTACCTGTGTGTCCATCTGTTGATATTCTTCCAGTTGAATGTCCTTCAAGGCAGCATCTGAAAGGAAAGATGATGGGTTGGTCTGTCTTTGAGAGCCCTCAGAGATGCCCCATGCTTGCAGCTGTAGTTCAGAGATGGGCTGTCTACAGTCCAGGAAGGGACCCTAGCATCACACAACAAGGTGACACATCTCCCTTCCTTCTCCTTCCAGAATCCTTCCTTGCTCCCCTCATCTCCCCACCCTGGGTTCCCTTCCTCCTCACTCCTCCTTACATTCATTTTCTTCCTGGCTCTCCAAGCACAGGCTGGATCTGATGGAAAAGAGACAGGAGCATTAGAATAATTCTGAAATAAAACATGAGCACGGTTTATTACTGGAGCAGTCACATAGTTCCTACCTGTGATACCTCACTTGGGTCTTGATCTCAACATCAATGGTTCCTGCAGAGAATCCGTGATCAGAGCCCACCCTGAAGGAACCCACCAAGCCTACTTCCCACTTTGTCTCCTGGGTTAACCGTTCCACCCCCCAGGACATACCTTGTTTTGCCTGGTACCAACGGCAAAGAAGAAAGAAGAGGAAGAGGAGAATAAATGCAACAGCAACCGAGACGCTGATCGCAATGAGTGTGTATCTTTGCTCAAGACCATACGGCTCTTGAAAAAAATTCAGAAAATTATAAATATCTGTAACTGAGCAACTGTTTCATTCATTCATTCGACAGGCATTTGTTGAGGGTCCGCCATATGCCAGGCAGGTCGTTGGGCGTTTGATTTTACTTCTAGATTGGGTTGGCATCTGACACCTTACCCAGCTCACAGTACCTCCTGGCAGAATCAAAGGTTCTTTTCAAGTTTACAATCCCTGATGGGACAGAGGAGCCTGCAGGAGATGCAAGCGATGTCTTCCTACCAGCCCTGGCCTTGACAATCATTTCACCTTGGATGGTCTAGAAAATGCCTTGCGATTTTCTCCATCATCTTAATATCTTCAGCACCTCTTCACTTTTCCTCACCACTAACTACTAGTGCAGGACAAAACAAGGTTCAAGGTGTTCTTCATAACGTTGCTATGAGTCACAGCTGACCGGGTCCACCTGAGGACCACAGCTGCCATCTACCTCTCTTGTGGGAGATGGACAGACATCCTGGGAAGAGTGTTCAGGACAGAGATCAGTGATGGCGTCACCTCTCAGACCGGTTCCCAGAGGCTCTCCCCAGCATTGAGCACATGTTAATAGGGCATCCCTGAAGCAATTTACTGGTAACTGGCAGAAAATGACCCTAGTAAACACGTACACCATCAGGATGTAAATGGAGGAGCCTGAGAAGCTACACCTTATGGGGACCAGTCATCAAACAGGGTGGAATTGAAAATCTCCACATGTTATGGCTTGAATTTTGAGAGAGAGAGAGAGAGAGAG